TGAGGTCTCTGAGACTGTCCTCAGTTCTTTTCATTCTTTTTTCTTTATTCTGCTCTGCAGTAGTTATTTCCACTATTTTATCCTCCAGGTCACTTATCTGTTCTTCTGCCTCAGTTATTCCACTATTGATCCCATCTAGAGTATTTTTAATTTCATTTATTGTGTTGTTCATTGTTGTTTGTTCCATCTTTAGCTCTTCTAGGTCTTTGTTAAATGTTTCTTGTATTTTGTCTATTCTATTTCCAAGATTTTGGATCATCTTTACTATCATTATTCTGAATTCTTTTTCAGGTAGACTGCCTATTTCCTCTTCATTTTTTAGGTGTGGTGGGTTTTTATCTTGCTCCTTCATCTGCTGTGTGTTTTTTTGTCTTCTCATTTTGCTTATCTTACTGTGTTTGGGGTCTCTTTTTTGTAGGCTGCAGGTTCGTAGTTCCCATTGTTTTTAGTTTCTGTCCTCATTGGCTAAGGTTGGCTCAGTGTGTTGTGTAGGCTTCCTGGTGGAGGGGACTAGTGCCTGTGTTCTGGTGGATGAGGCTGGATCTTGTGTTTCTGGTGGGCAAGTCCACATATGTTGGTGTGTTTTGGTGTGTCTGTGGACCTATGATTTTAGGCAGCCTCTCCGCTAATGGGTGGGGTTGTGTTCCTGTCTTGCTAGTTGTTTGGCATAGGGTGTCCAGCACTGTAACTTGCTGGTCGTTGAGTGAAGCTGGCTGCTAGTGTTGAGATGCAGATCTCTGGGAGATTTTCGCCGTTTGATATTATGTGGAGCCGGGAGGTCTCTTGTGGACCAGTGTCCTGAAGTTGGCTCTCCTACCTCAGAGGCACAGCTCTGACTCCTGGCTGTATCACCAAGAGCCTTTCATCCACACGGCTCAGAATAAAAGGGTGAAAAAGTAGAAAGAAAGAATTAGTAGAAGAAGAAAGAAAGAAAGAAAGAAAGAAAGGAGTGAGGGAGGGAGGAAGGAAGGAGGGAAGGAAGGAAAAAAGAGAAAGAAAGAATATAAAGTAAAATAAAATAAAATAAGATAAAATAAAATTATTAAAATGAAAAATAATTATTAAGAAAAAAAAATTTTTTTAAAAATGGACGGATAGAACCCTAGGACAAATGGTGGAAGCAAAGCTATACAGACAAAATCTCACACAGAAGCGTACACATACACACTCACAAAAAGAGGAAAAGGGGAAAAAAATCGTAAATCTTGCTCTCAAATTCCACCTCCTCAATTTGGGATGATTCATTGTCTATTCAGGTATTCCACAGATGCAGGGTACATCAAGTTGATTGTGAAGCTTTACTCGATGCTTCTGAGGCTGCTGGGAGAGATTTCCCTTTCTCTTCTTTGTTCCCGGGGCTCAGCTTTGGATTTGGCTCCGCCTCTGAGTGTAGGTCACCGGCGGGCGTCTGTTCTTCCTCATACAGGACGGGGTTAAAGAAGCAGCTGCTTCGGGGGCTCTGGCTCACTCAGGCCAGGAGGAGGGAGGGTCACGGAGTGCGGGGCGAGCCTGCGGTGGCAGAGGCCGGCATGACGTTGCACCAGCCTGAGGCCCGCCGTGCGTTCTCCCGGTGAAATTGTCCCTGGATCCCGGGAACCTGGCAGTGGCAGGCTGCACAGCCTCCCTGGGAGTGGGGTGTGGATAGTGACCTGTGCTGGCACACAGGTTTCTTGGTGGCGGCAGCAGCAGCCTTAGCGTCTCATGCCCATCTCTGTGGTCCGCGCTCTTAGCCGCGGCTCATGCCCGTCTCTGGAGCTCCTTTAAGCGGCGCTCTTAATCCCCTCTCCTCGCGCACCAGGAAACAAAGAGGGAAGAAAAAGTCTCTTGCCTCTTCGGCAGGTCCAGACTTTTCCCCGGACTCCCTCCTGGCTAGCCATGGTGCACTAACCCCCTGCAGTCTGTGTTCATGCCGCCAACCCCAGTCTTCTCCATGTGCCCCCACTGAAGCCTGAGCCTCAGCTCCCAGCCCCGCCCGCCCCGGCGGGTGAGCAGACAAGCTTCTCGGCTGGTGAGTGCTGGTCGGCACTGATCCTCTGTGCGGGAATCTCTTCACTTTGCCCTCTGTACCGCTGTTGCTGTGCTCTCCTCCACGGCTCTGAAGCTTTCCCCCTCCACCACCCGCAGTCTCCACCCTCGAAGGGGCTTCCTAGTGTGTGGAAACCTTTCCTCCTTCACAGCTCCCTCCCACTGGTGCAGGTCCCGTCCCTATTCTTTTGTCTCTGTTTAATCTTTTTTCTTTTGCCCTACCCAGGTACGTGGGGAGTTTCTTGCCTTTTGGGAGGTCTGAGGTCTTCTGCCAGTGTTCAGTAGGTGTTCTGTAGGAGTTGTTCCACGTGTAGATGTATTTCTGGTGTATCTGTGGGGAGGAAGGTGATCTCCGCGTCTTACTCTTCCGCCATCTTCCCCCCCATTAGTTTTTGAAAGATAGTTTTGCTGGATTTAGAATTCCAGATTGATAGTTTCGTCCTTCAATACTTTAAGGTTGTTTTTCCACTGTCTTATTGCTTACATCTTTTCTAATGATAAATCTGTTGTAATTCTTATCTTTGCTGCTCTATGTGTAATTTGTCATTTTCTCTTGTGCATTTAAGGTTTTTTATTTACTGCTAGTTTAAGCAATCTGTTTATGATGAACCTTGGTATGGCTTACTTCAAATTTCTAATACTTGAATTTCATTAAACTTCTTAGGTCCATGTCTTTATAGTTTTCTTCAAATTCAGAAAACTTACAGCCATTGTTTGTTCAACATTCTTTTCTTTCCCCCTATTGTCTTCTCTCCTTCTGAGACTCCAATTTCTCATGTATTAGGCTCCACTACAGCACAATACCCTTCTGGGGACTCTAATCAATGCCACATGTGTTTCTCTCTGATTGGTGGAAATATGAACTATTCCCAAATCTGTGTGAGATCTAAAAATTTACCCACCTTTTTCTTTTGGTGTTTCTTTCTCTGGACTTGTGTAGTTTCCTCAAATGCATGCATTAGCCAAGTCTTCACATGAAGACATGAGGGCAACTCTTTGGAAATCTCCAGAAAGTACCCCTAGGGGATCTCCCCTTGCTGCTACTTTGTACTGGACATTCTAGCCTTCTTGGGCTTCCTGAACTTCATACTCTGTCCCTTTAGCTCAAGGAGAATGCTGGGCTCAGTTTGGAATGCCTCTTCTTGTTCAGTAAACTGAGCTTACTTCATTTCCTTCTCTCAGGAATCACTGTTCTATGCTGCCTGATGTCCGAAGTCTGAAAAATATTGCTTCATATATTTTGTTCTATTTTTAATTGTTTTATGGTGAAATGGCACATCTGATTTACCATTTACCAGTAAACTGGAAGCGGAAGTTTACTGCTTTTGTTTTTCTATGACCAAGAAGATCCTCTGTTCTTAATATAAGCAAACATTCCTTAACTCTGTCTTTAGGTGATAAAATTGATTGCTTCATACATAAAACTTCTAGCCTAAATACAGATCTATGTGTTTGGTATTCTAATAAAGGACCGTGTGAATAAAAAATCAACTTACTTTATTTTGTCCTGGTAACCCAAATCTTGATGGTTAAGCAATGTTTCCAGGAGGCTCAAAGTCAAATACAATCCATGTTTCCCACATATAGCCCTGACCTGCAAATAAGAAAAGATTTAAAATTTCCATATAATGAAATTAAGATTTGAATTTCCCTCCTATAATTAGAACTTATATAATTTGGACGAAAAATTAATGACCAGGAGTGCATTATACCATTAAGATACCATTTAGGACAAGAATGTCCAACTGAATGTGCATCACCAGCAAATTTTTAGTTGCTTGACACAAAGATATAGTTCATTACTCAGAAGCCACTGAACTTTGAAATGCTGATCTTACATTTTTGTCAGCCATGGAATGGGTGGTCCAGACCTAGAAATTATACACACTTATTATATAAGTAAATTACAAAGTAATTTTTTACAACTACTTTGATTTACCAAAGAAGCTTGTTGTATTAGTAAGGTTACTATCACTATCTGTATTTTATATATAAGGAAATCAAGGCTTAGAGAGATTAAGTGACCTTCTCAATGTCACATAGTTAATAAATGATGAAACTTAGTCTAGAAACCAGGTGCTCAATTAATGTTTGTGGGATGGATGAATGAAGGGTCATTGCAGTTTCCCAAGTACTTAATATTTTCTGAGTCCAGCTGACAAACCAGTTCATCTCTGAAGTTGGTGGGTGGGTGATACTTAGATTCAAACACGTCAAACTTTTAGAGTTGTGATAGTATGTGTTCTGTGTTTAGCATAATGTTTAAACATAGAGACTTAAGAATAAAACATGACTAATTTTGAATACCGGATATGCTGCCTGTGATTTGTGTGATCTCAGGAAGTTACTGAACCTTTTTATTCCCAATTACTTCATCTACTAAGTAAGACCAGTATTTTCTACTCCTCAAGAGAAAATAAGCAGTTAGAATAATGCTTGGATTTTAGTAGACATTTGATTAATATTTGTTGAAATGAAGAAAAGGAAGAGAGGGAAAAGGAAGAAGAAGGGACATAGAAGAAAGAGAGAAGAGAAGAGAGGGGAGGAAAGGAGAGAAAGGGGAGCAAGAGAACAAGAAAGAGAGAGAGAGGAAGAGAAAGAAAAAAGAAGGAAGGGAGGAGTAAAGGAAGGAAGAAAGGGGCAAGGAAAAGAAAAGAAATGTCTAATTCAGTGTTTGGAAAAATTGTAGCTACTACTATTATTTTTAGAGGAATTTCCATACACTGACTGTATTAAGCATGTCTTTTTATTCTGATGCCTTGACATCATGGGGCCTTGCTGATCCTGGAGAGACTGCCTCTCTCCCAGGGCTAGCCAATTCCTAGAGATAGTGAAGGACTGGCTTGCAAGTGTGTCTTTCATCTGCAAACCAACTACTTCTTTGGGCCACTATTTCCATGTCCTAATTACTCAAGGGCCAAGTGCTAGGCAACTAGGAATGGCCCTTATGTCCCTGAGCCCACTGAAATTATTCAAACTAGCCAATCCTAAGCCTTCTTACTCGTCTCACCCATTCCACAATAAAGGCTCTTGCCCACGTTTTCCCTCATCCTCTCTGCCTCCTAACCTCCTGGTGCAGTGTTCCATTCCCCTTCTCTTGGGAACTGAGTAACAAACTGTCTTTTCAATGGCAATCATCTCCTGATCTGTTGGTCTGACCGTACTTGAATAATATAACCTAGATTTTAATACAGTGACAAAAAGTTAATTTTCATTTGTCTTTATGCAAGGAAACAGCCAATATGGGTTAGAAACTTGCACATTTTACTTACTAGCTGTAGAAGAGTATGTCAGGGAAGGAAAAATATCTATTTAAAACATGAAAAAAATGAATAATAGTTTGCCAGAAGAAAAAGGGGTTGCGTATAATTCCAGGCAGAAGAAAAGCATGTATAAATGATGGGTGAGAAAGAGCATGGTGCTTTTTATAAACTGCATGTATTTTGGCATAATTCACCCTACTATAGTTTTATACCCCTTTTCACTGGACAGTAAATATCTGTTCATGAGAGCTTCTCTAAAAGTCAGTGGTTTGCTGAGGGCTGGAATTGCGTCTCCTTCATTTTCCTATCACCATTCCTAGCACAGTGTTGAAAACTAGTTATTGAATAAATGAATACATGGATGAATTAGGAATGAATGAATGAGTTGAAGGTCCTGAAGAGTGGAATGTGTATGGGCATAGGTTGGAAAAAAATAAATTGAGAGAGGTAGGAATTAGTCACCTTATGCCATTTTACTCAATAAATAAAAATAGACTTATCCTCATAATTAGAGCATATTAGTGTATTTTTAAGCATCAATATTAAGACGTTATTCTAAAAACAGTTTATTTACTTCTGGCAACATTGAGTTTTGCTCCAGGCTAAATGAACAGCAGATTAGAAATAGTACAGGGTTCCTAGAAGCAGATTGATTGATAGCTGCTAGGAACTGACAGTGACAGTTGTGGAAGAGCAATAGAAACATCTACCAGAAAATCCTGGCAATTTAGTGTTATCTAGGATTATTTAAAAAATCCATATTCATTAGGATGTCCCTTGTTCAATAAGAAAATGTTTGGCTATGTATAGTTTCTTCGTTCAATAACGACATTTTAAAAATCAAATGTAAATAAAATATTTATGTTATTTAGGAAATGACATGTAAAATAAATATTCATTTCTTCAAAATGCTCCTTGAGACAGTGATGCACAGATGCTCTCTCAACTTCCTCCCTTCCCATTTATGGTTCCATTTGAATTTTACCCCAATCACTCTACTTAAATTGTGTTTACCAAGTCATTAGTAACCTCCACAGTTTCAAATTTAATGAATACTTTTCAGTCCTGATTACAGATGATCTCTTCGCAGCATGTGACATGGCTGATCATGCCATACTTCCGTAAATCTATTCTCTACACTTTCTTGACCACTGCCATATTTCTTTTGATTATTTTTAGTCTCCTTTCTTGGCTTGTCTTCATCTACCTACTCCTTAACAATGAGCGTCCTCCTCAACCTTCCCTTCTCACTTTCCATTATGTCCTTGAGGAATCCTAATTACTCCCAAGGGTTCAACTCCATACTGAAGACCCTTAAATCATTTAGCTTTAAGCTCTCAACCTACATCAACATGTTCAAAACTGAACTCATCATCCTTTCCTTTACCTCCCCAACTACTGATTTTCTATTTCCTATCTCAGAGAACGGTACCACCACCTACCAAGTTGCGAAAGCCAGAACCTTGGGAGTCATTTTTGATTCTTCTGAATTCAGGACCTACGTCTAATTAAGTCACCAAGACCTACTTTTCTATCTCCTTAATATCGCCATCCCTCCTGCTACTACCCTGGTCTAAACCCTCATAATTTCTTGCTTGAATTACTGGAACAGTCTTTTAAAGGTTCTCTCTGCCTCTAATTCTCCACATTCTATTACAGTGCTCTTTTCAAACATCAAATTTGATCATATCACTCATTTGTTTAATATCCTTCAATGATTCCACTGGGGCTTTAGGATAAAGTTCACACTTCTTAGAAAGACTCTTCAAAAACAAGTTCCTCCTTTCCATTCTAACATCAACTTGAGCAGCATCTCCCACCGTCCCCAGCCACCATATATTTACTGTGTTCTGCCTATATGAAATGGCTTACAGTTCCCTGAATTAGCCATGTTCTCTCTTACTTCAGTGACATTTCACATTGCACCTTTTACCTAGAATACCTTTCCTGTCCCTTCCTCTGCTCTCCCCCAGTTCTTTGCCAAATTCACACGTCCTCTAAGATTCAGTATTTGCATCATCTCCTCTGGAGTTTTTGGGTGAGGCTAGGTTGGTGTTCCTTCTCTGTGTTCAAATTTACTGCCATCACTGCATTTTACATATAGAATTGTATCATGTTTAAAACATTACCTTTTCCCTCAGCTCCTGGAGAACTCTGGAACTGAAATCATAATAGTTTGTTGTCCTTAGTGTCTTATCACACAGAACACATTGAGTGATTAATATGTTGAATGTAAGAATAAACATGCCATATTGTTCAGAAATCTGGCTATTGCTTTGGAAGAAGGGAATGATTTGAAGCTAGTAGAAACCATTTATCATTTAAGGGCAGAGTGTACTGATATAGAAACAACTAAGTACAAAAAAGGAGCCTGGCAAACTGCAGAAGAATGTCTTACAGTTCTGGTCACTTGGTAAGCTAGTGTCATTGCTGTAGTCTTGCCATGGGAGTGAACCTCACATTCACAAGCCCCAGTTCTCTAAGTAAAGGGACTCCCTCTTGATGATAATGAGGGAGTTGCATGAAAATGAAGCAAGAGTAATTAGAGGTAGAGCAACCTGTGTTCTAGCAGCTCCTCCTGGCAGGAAGGTCTGCAAGTAGTTTGGGAGGTCTTTGTGATGTAGAGCAGAAAGAGGATGAAAGAATATGGATTATGTATAAAAGTGTTAAACTGAACCTGCATGCTTGGAAACTTCTTAGCTTCTACACACTATTCACTCTACACCTGATTTAAATAATGGTCAGGGAAGTTAATAAATAAATGTATGTGGATCCATGTTGCCTCAGGAATTCTTCCTGAGCCATCATTGCGTCAAAAATGTGATAGAGGAACAGAATGAGTGAATCCACAGAATGAGGATGACAGATATTAGATATATTTTTATACTCTTCTTTGAGAATGGCGACAATGCCATTGATTCAAGTGACAAGACCCATAGATCACCCTTCAAAACTGCAGTTATTTATCTGAGAAGAGGCAGATGATCTCTGAACCATCTGAAATATTGGCTGTGAGGATGTGCTCATTTTCCCCTCGGCACGGGGTGCATAGATTTCGTGAGAAACTTAAGGAGGTCTGTGAAACCCTTCCAACTCAGATGGCCTTTCCCAGTCTCCTCTGAAGTCCTGTGTCCAGGAACAAGTATGTTGGGGTGCAATCCCTGCTGCTTGCCGTGTCCAGTGTCTGTTGGGCCTCAATTTGTCTCACGTTCTGGGGAAACAGAATTCTATTTGCCATGCCTCCCAGAACTGTAATATACTTTGAATGAGTTCCAGATGTCTTAAGAGATGCCAGATGGCTCATGAGAGGCAGACCAGCTTCAAGGAAAATGTGCCCTATTTCCTTGGATATGAACCACAAATTTAAACTTTCAGGTCCAGCTCAGGGTGGAGGACATTCAGGGCCCGTTCTGATAGCCAGTGTTCAATGTGGCTATCACTTGACCCTGGGAAAGGTCCTCCTTCCTTAGGCTATTTTGCACTGATAATTTCACCAAACACAGATTTTTTTTTAAAATATAAGGAAGGGAAACCTATTTACTGAGTGCCTCATATATCAGACAGTATACTAAGTACCTTTACATACTTATCTTGCTTAATCCTCACAATAGACACAGGAGGTAAGATATTTGGAACCCAGTTTTTCCAGATGGAAAATGTGAGGCTCATAGAGTTTCAGTAAATTTATTTTGATTTTCAAGTCATTTATGTACCATTCCACCAGGGCATCTGAGAACATTCAAGCTTCACTGATGCTGTTATGTATTTTCCAATCTAACAAGAAATGGCTCCTTCTTAGTCAATTTCCACTGATCTTCTCAATAACATAATGAAGGCCATTTATGATGTACGGAATCTCCTGTAGTGTTGTCTACTTCTTCTAGTGAAACAGGCTTGCATGTTTAATATTCATGTGTACAATATACATGCACACACACATGTACACACTATCATGTACTTTGCCTTTGCATGGTTAGTTGACTGTATAAATGAAAGCACAGAGAAAGCTACTTCTGTCCTAGAATAAGAATCCACTTTCAGCATGTTGTGTCCTTGCTTCCTTAGTAAACATCACTTGTTCTTCTGAATTCTCTGACTCTCTCAATTCTTAACCCCTGTTTACCTGGATGAAAGGCATTTTCCAATCTTTCCTATAGGATATTTTTGTTTTGGGGGTCTGTAAATTCTAATTCCTTCTACTCCTCTGGAATTCCAACTCCTGTATCCTGGACTCCTTCCAAATATATCCTTCCAGATATATTCTGCCTATTGGAGTTCTAATTGTGTCTCAATTTCCAGTATTCTTCTGTATTTTGAATCCTGACTCTGCCTATTGTTGGCTGTGGTCCTTGAGAGATTCAGTTGGCTTCTCTGAGACTCCGTTGTTATTGTTTTTCATTTATTAAATGGGTATTATAACATCTACCTAGATCTTGTACTTATTTGTAAGTGTTAAATGAGTTAATGTAAGTAGAGCATTTAGTGCAGTGTTTGGCACTGTAGGAAGAACTCAGTAAAGCTTGGCGGTGAAAGTTGCTGAGAATGGAATTGCAGTAACAGTGGTCATTATCCAAGGTAACCTCATGACTGGAGTTTGTCTGGCTAAAGACAACACATGAATTAATATGGTTCTGGATCCTCTTTCATGAAACATATCTGCACTGTTAATTAATGCTCCCAAACAGCAGGCTAATCTCTGTTAGCAATAAATCACATCAGTCCCTACAATTTGGTATCCCTAAGGAACAGAGTACCACCTGCTGACCTCACTGGAAGCTGGTAGAGGGTGTGAGAAATGAACACTTGGCCTTAGAAAAACATTTGTTTTCCATTGTGAAAGATTATTTGGTATTGTCATATTGTCTATTGTTAGCGTAAAACATAGCCCAGTGTAAGTAATTCCTGGACCAATTCTGCACATTTCACAATTCCTTTTCTCTCTTGTTTTTCTCCTCTTGGGCACAGAAAACAAACAATTGTGAAATGTAATCCACAGGCAGAACACAGATCATAACTGTGCCTTCTATCTTTTTAATTTGAATTTTTATTTTAGTGTCTTCTAATCACTTTTAAATTTCTATTAAACAAGATATTGCTTGATTTCCAAAGGGATGGCCAATTTATCATATAAGGGATTAGATGTAAAAACAGGAAGAGGAAATCTTTTACTGTAAACATTCTGTATTCTTTAGCACATCACTTTCCTCCTGCTTGATTGAAATTTGGGAAATGATTATTAGACTTACACAATAAATATTGAACTTACATTATATAAATGCTCCTAGAACCTACATAGTATATATGCACTCCTACTTTCAAAGCTAGCCAGTTATGTATCTCAGTATGTATTATTCTTAGTGAATAATATAACTGTGCCTTCTTACTATAAACCTAGTGCCCCGAGGTAGCCTTCTAGAGATGACTGAATCTGAAATCTAATTTTGGTTACCTTGGGTGGGGGCAGTAGCCAGAGAACGAGCGATCTTCTTTTCGAAAACTCAGGTTGAGATTCTCCATGTTGAGTTTGCCCTTAGTTGCCCTTAGTGCCATCTTCAAGATCTCCAACAGGTGGTGGTTCACTTCTGGCTGGGAGTTGGAGTCTTGAGGGGCAGTACTGCTTGGAGAGGCAGGAGAAAGGCTGTGAAAAGATGATCCACTCAAAGCTGTATGGCCGGGGCTTCCCTGGTGGCGCAGTGGTTGAGAGTCCGCCTGCCGATGCAGGAGACACGGGTTCGTGCCCCGGTCCGGGAGGATCCCACATGCCGCGGAGCAGCTGGGCCCGTGAGCCATGGCCGCTGAGCCTGCGCGTCCGGAGCCTGCGCATCCGGAGCCTGTGCTCCGCAAGGGGAGAGGCCACAGCAGTGAGAGGCCTGCGTACCGCAAAAAAAAAAAAAAAAAAAAAAAAAGCTGTATTGCCGATTCACTTTGCTCTATAGCAGCAACTAACACACCATTGTAAAGCAACTATACCCCAATAAAGATGTTAACAACAACAACAAAAAAGCTGCTGTGTGTTTTCACACCACACCTCTCACCCCAATACATACTGTGGAATGAGAGGACCCACCTAGTAAGGCCTTCTAAATCTGGGTAACCTCGTCATGGGACTACATGTGGAGATTGCAAAGATTAACTAAAGTCTGTTCCACTCTAGTGAGTCCCACAGTCTGTTCTCCCAGAGGTACCAACCAATTGAACTACAACATAGACCAAAACTTGTAATCCACTAACTCTTTTTTTCCAGGTTAGAAAAACTTAGAAGTGACCGTAGTAGTTTACTTTTCCTGCTTTATCTTACTTTTCTTAAGCCCAGATAATTATTGATAGCAAATCTAATTTCCAAACTGTCCATTGCCACAAGCAAAGCAAAGCAAAGCAAAGCAAAGCAGATCCTACCAGATCCCTGTAACCAGGGAATCTATATAGAAGGAAATCTTGAACCAGGTGAACTTCCTGCATAATCCTCGACTCTGCTCTTTGTATCTGGAAAACCCAGAAAATGTTTGGGTACAATTATTTACTTACCGCCTGGCATGCAAATGTAAGTAGTTATTAAAAGAGTGTATCTAACTGACTATTGTTACTTTAAATAATTGGCAAAAAACAACAGGGTGATGAAATGTTATAGTCATTTGTTTTGTGAAACTAGTTTGAGATGTTTACTCATTTAACATTCAAATGTATGTGTCCTCCCAGATCCAAGCTGCACTATCTTCTCCACGGTGAAGCTTTTCCTTATTTCCACTCCCTCAACTTAAGTGCCACTTCCCTAGAGGGACATTCCATGACGTCCCCCAACCTCCACTCATGTAAATCAGTTTCCTTTCAGTGGTGTGCCGGTAAATCTTTAATGACTAGCTCTCCAAGATAGAGCCCTAACCTGTAGCATTACTAATTTTCATGGTGCTAATACTCCCACCATGGCTGATTTCAAGCTGCCAATATGATGTCCCTGAATGAGGAACTGGGAATTGAGGCTCACCGGCGGCCCTCCTGTTGCTCCAGAACCCCCTGTTTGAGAGACTCTTTCATAGTTCTTTGTTCTTTTCCTTAATAAGTCTCCCTCAAGTTGCAATTGCTTCCTTATTCTTTTAGCTGTTGTTTCCTGTCTGGCCTCCTCCCTAGTAGACTGCTCCATAAGACGTGGGCTGAGTCTGTTTTGCTCCTATATCATGTGGATCTTGTAGAGATTGGCCTTACCGATCTGATGTATCTGTCCCAGATTTGAATCAGAAGTTTTCCTTCCTCTTTCCTTTTCTTGCAACACCAGTTCCTGTGGGTAGGAATTCGTAAGGTTTTGGCCTTCGGCTCAGCATGCAGAGTACTGAATGGGCAGGTGTTATATGGAACCCATTTACTGCAGCTGGTGGATTTCGTAGAAAAACCTGCTGCAGGAGTTTACTTCATCTGGTCCAACTTAGGTGACGAGAGCCGTTGCCGCTCCTGCTGCCACTGGTGATGCTGGAGGCTTTTTAAACATCACAGAGTGCCCCATATAAGGCTCTACCTGATGGAACCGGGGAGGACCTTTTTCTAAGCTGTACATTAATTAAAAAAGAGCCTGGATTAATTACAGGTCATCAGCCCTGCACTTCCATAAACACACTGTCTGGTTTATATAGAGCAGCACCTTCTCTGATGAATTCAAAATGATGTCTTTATGCACCTTTTCTATACAGCAGATATCCGAATGTCCCTGCGAGTGAAGTGATGCAAGCTCTCTGGATAACTGGAGTGCCAATGGCATTCCACAGATATTTATTGAGCATCTCCCATGTGCCAGGAACTATGCTAGAAGTATGCTGGACACTGAGTTGGCCAGGAAAGATACCATTCCTAACCTCAAATGTCAAAGAAGTAATTACAAGCACAATGACTGTTATAAAGAGAAAGGGCTATGGGGTCATATAGCAAAGAGATATAACCTAGTCTAGGGCTCAAGAAAAGTTACCTGTCTAGGATTCGTAAGACCCATACCTGCCAATAAGTGGCAATATGCTCTGGTGCATCGTCTACTACCCTTCAGGGCGCAAATCTCACTATCTGTTCTATGTGAAGTGTGGTTGCTGATTACTAAATATTGCCAGGGCTTTACAGCTCTCAGCAGGGCAATGGCGCCAAGTGATAGTTGACTGGTGTACCCACATGGCAGCATCACTTTCTTTGGACTGTGAGCCCCTGAGGGAGAGACTGGGCCTTGCCAATCTCTGAATTCACTGTGCTCAGCAAAGTGTGCCTGGCATTCAGTGAATGTGTGTTGACTGAAGGATTGCAGTCAAAAAGGGCACATCATAGAAAGGAATCAAGTCTATTACTTGGCCCAGGGATATTTTTATAGGACACGGTGCCTTTTTCCTGGAGTGAAGTGATACACTTCAATGCCATGGCTCTTAACCACTATGTCACATTATTTGTAACGGGAAAGAGTGTCTTCTGGTAGGATAGTTTAAAATAGTAAAAAACACTTATATAGCACTTGCTATCAATCAGGTACTATTTTTAAGAACTTTGCATTGACTAACTCAGTTCCTCTTACAAATCTATGAAGTGAAGGGAAATCTATCATTGTTCCCATTTTGCAGTTGGGGAATGGAAGCACAGAGAGGGTAAGTGACCAGCCAAATGTTGCAGAGCCACTAATGGGCAGAAACAGGAATTGAGCCCAGGCTTCTGTCAATGGAAGTTATGCTCCTAACCACTGCACTTTGTCATTTTTCGTGGAGAACACAGAGACTATCATGCTTTACTGTGCCTCATTTCTAACGCTGTTCCTCACATCCTATTTTTTACGTTGAGTCATTTCTTTCCTTTGAGATTATGTGAAGGACTGGTGTCTGTAACCCAGGAGTTCACTGACTGAACATATTTCTGGAATCATACTGTATGAACTGGAGCTCTGCCCCGGTATACACTCATTTCTTATTTCATAATGAGGTTTTTCATTTTCACATGGCAACTTCATAAAAAAGACACATGCTTGACGTTAAGAAGCTGGTAATTGTTGGAAATAACTTTCTATGCTGGCCTGCGTACAAGAGAGAAATAAAAACTATAAGCAGAAGCCAACTGTTGGTGAAGAGCAAAGTGATTCTGCATTAGGTGAAGTTTTCGAGTGTACGACCTCCACAATCCCTGCCAGCTCTTGCAGTCTACAAACACTATGCCCACAAAAAGGGAGAAAAGTACCTTTGATGCCTACCACCCTGAGCTTCTTTCACCTTGCTGTCCTCAACTCTTTTGTTTTGCTGTGGATCATCTGAAGCTGCAACTTTTAAACACCAGAGTAGCTTTTCATAATTTATCTGAAAAGTAAATATCAAACAGAACATCCTCATTGAATTTACATGTAGGGGAAAGAAGATGCCTGCTGAGATCACATGTATTTGGAAAAGTTTTAGCATTAAAACTGTCAAAAACAGGTTTTAAAATATAATAATTATTAGTGCTTTTTATCAACTATTCCTTTTATTTTCCCTTCTGGACATACGGTAAAATAATACTTCCTGGTTGTCTTGCGGTTGAGTAGGGTGATGACCAGTTCTGGCCAGTGAGTTGTGAGCAGAAGTGACATGTGCTACTTCTGGGCTGAGGATTAAACTGCTGACATGACACCCTCCAGGTCTCTCTTTTTCCCCTCTGCTATCACATCCAAAAGTCCTACAGAGTGGTTGCTCCATCAGCATGGGTTTGGAGCTAAGGTGATGATGGTACTGAGAAGAGCCTGGGGTGGACTCATTATGAAAAATAAACTTTTATTGTTTTAAGCCACTGAAACTTTGGGGCAATTTGTTACAATAGCATAACCTAGCGTCTAGCTTCTCTCCCTCACACACATCTCTTACATGGATATATTCAACAGATATAGTCAGATTACTTAGGGGCAAGGCCTTATTTACCTAGGTGAAAACCTCAAGACTTTTTTTTTTTTTTTTTTTTACATAGGAAAGGACTAAAAGAATGTCATCATTTCCATTGCTGGGCTGGATGACATGCTAGGGACTCTGGTCTGGTGGGCAGACAACTCCAGGGCAGTAGAGGGTGTAGCAGTGGGGACAGGAAGCCAGATAAGGTCCTGATAGAAACTAGATCTCAGGCTGGAGAATTGGCTTGAACTGAAGATTCAGAGAGTTTGTACTAATAGGTTGATATTGTATTGCGAAATACGTCTCATAAATATACAACTGATTCTATTTTCACAGATAAGGGATGGGCAGGAGATAGAACTAACATTTATTTGAGTATCTACTAAATGCTAAACATGAGACCAGGTAATTTGCATTTATTTTACTACTAAATCCTCAGATTAGCCCTATGAGATTTGTTTTGGCCTGATTTTCCATCAACACATGCTCACAAATGATTTATCCATTGGTATTATTTCTTCCTATTTTAGGATATTTTCCTTTAGCTCCCAGAATTTGGTTACACTTGGGCTATGCTTTGTATTCACTCACAATGTGAGCTTGGGAAGTGCAGTGCTCAGAGAAAGAACCCTGATCTCATCTTTGGGGAGCCTTTATCTCTGTCCTGGGTCTACTATTAATTCTCTGGGTGCCCTGAGCAAGTTCCTTAAACCCTCTGGGTTTCAGTTTCCTACTCAGTGAAATGATGGTGGTGAATTATATTTCAAAGATACCTCCCACCTCTTAACTCTCTAGGAACTGTCATGATACATCTTTGATAAGTTCTCCATTCTAACCTCAGAGCCTATAGACTGATCAGCTTGTAAACAGACTCAGGTGGGCCCATTATCTTGATTCTGTAAGTATCCCAATGGTGTTAAGAGCAGACAATGAAAGTTTGGACAGGAAACCCTTTAAAGAGAAATTAAACAAGGCTGAGACCTAAATCTGTTTTCTATTTGGGTCTTATCTGACTAGAGATTTCCACATATGAATATAAATATGCTTTGTATCTTATGGGTCAATAGTAAAGGTTATTTTCAAGAAAGAACCTTACCTTTTAATTCTATTACTCTGGTGGGTACAAGTCAAGTAAACAAAAGGAACCCACACTTAAAATAAAAAGATGGTCATTACCACTTCAGGAGATTCCCTCCCAGAAAATCACTGGCAAAGGATCTTGACTGTTGGTAACTGCAGAGGGACCTCAAGCCTGAAGATGAGGCAGCTCAGCTGAGATTGGAGAAGAAATCCTGAAGAGACAGGATCTTCATCTCTTTCTGAAGCTTGTCTAATAAGCCAGAACTCAAAAGGCATGACTTGAGTTCTCTTCTGACCAGCAAGAAGAAAAGTGTCTTCTTTTGTTGTTCCACTTGGCCTCTGGCCAATATCCTGAAACAACAACAGTAATAACAAATTAACAGGGCTCTAAAACAAAATGACTAAACGCTAATGCAAGGAAGAAGAAGCCTAGTTGGGCTGGTATCAAAGCATCCACTTTTAAGCCTTGTCCTAAAAGGAACAGGAAAGAACACTTACACTTGAAAGTAAGTATTCAGTCTGGGTATATTCATTAGTTTACAATGTCTCAGGACCTTTTTCTTTAGGAGAAGAAAAGAAGGAAATCATTTCAGAGTACATGCTCTGTTAGAAGGCTCCTTAACGTGTATCATCTGTCTTTTACAAAATAATTTTTTGAGTATATGACAATTTAGAATAACAAATCTTAGAGACCCATTGGATCTGGGAGGAGGAAAGGGGAAGTAAGATGCAATGTTCAGGGGAATCATTTGAGGTTTGCCTGTGAACTCCTCAGGGAAGCTTCCTTGAAAGCTGATGGGACATATGGAGTGTGGTGTCCACCAGTCCATGCTCAGACCTTCTTATTATGTGTTTCACATCAAAATATACAGTCAACAAATAATACCCCTTCAACCACAATAGAAAACAGCCCAACAACTCTTAGGATACACACATTGGGTTGGTCAGAGCTGCCCCTTGCCATCTGTTCTAAGGACCAGTCTCTAAGGTTTCTCCTGGGGAGGCCATGGATATAGGACAGGGACTGGTCTCCAGTTGGTACAGAGCTGCAGTAGACATTTTCCTGGTTGGGAATCTTAAAGAAACAAAGACAAATGGTAGTAAGGATCAGAAGGGGTGGGTGAAGAGAAAGAGAAAAAAAGGGAGAATATGAGTGAGTCAACAAATTCTTTTTTTAAAAAAATAAATTTATTTATTTATTTATTTATGGCTGCACTGGGTCTTTGATGTTGCGTGTGGGCTTTTCTCTAGTTGTGTCGAGCGGGGGCTACTCTTCATTTCAGTGCTTGGGCTTCTCATTGCGGTGGCTCCTCTTGTTGTGGATCACAGGCTCTAGGCGCACGGGTTTCAGTAGTTGTGGCACTTGGGCTCAGTAGTTGTGGCTCATGGGCTCTAGAGCGCAGGCTTAGTAGTTGTGGCGCACAGGCTTAGTTGTTCTGCAGCATGTGGAATCTTCCCGGACCAGGGCTCGAACCCATGTCCACTGGCAGGGGGATTCTTTTTCTTTTTTTTTTTTTAACATCTTTATTGGGGTATAATTGCTTTACAATTGTGTGTTAGTTTCTGCTTTATAACAAAGTGAATCAGTTATACATATACATATGTTCCCATATGTCTTCCCTCTTGCGTCTCCCTCCCTCCCACTCTCCCTATCCCACCCCTTC